CAGATACTGACATTCGATGACATAAGTCCACTCTATTCTTTCCTTCTATTATGAAAAATAGTAAAAAATTATAGTGTTTTATTTTAGGGGTGAGTAATCCAATAGATGAATCTGGCTTCTCAGACATATTAATTTCTACCAATTTAAATTTTATGTAAAGTAACTATGAAGGTTCTGCATCAACTTCCTGAGAATCCTATCCAAAACCTATGATTCAAATTAGCTGTAATTAGTGTTCAAGGAATTTTTGCACTCTCTTTTATTAGAACTAGAAAATGTTTATATGTGCACAGTGAACTGGCAAACCTAGGTTTGGAGCAACCTCTCCCACTAGCCAGCCTTGCGGGCTTGGACAAATCACACTCAGTATCTCTGAGCTTCCATTGTCCTTGCATTTCAGATGAGGGCACTTAGCCCACCTATATCACAAGTTGTTTCTTTCAGGCTCTGAGAGTTCTAGTTCCAGGTTCTTTTAATTCCAAGATCAATGCATAAAATAACTTTCAGAGCTACTTTCTCAAGTTTCCAAACATTGCTGGAGAAAACGAGCTGACAAAACTCAAATTTATAAAAATTTTAAAAAGACAAAAACCACACCCATTGCTGAAGTAGGATAATCTCTAAAACAGACAGTTTAGTTGTGCCAAACAGGAGTCCCAAATAAACTTCTATAACTCTGAAGGGGAAAAATATGGTGAGTCAGCTAGAAAGGAACACACACACACACACACACACACACACATACACGTGATTGGATTAAGTTAAAAGAAATCTATTCTTTCAGACTGAAATCCCCCTTATCCAAAATCTGTTTTTCAGGACAAGCAAATCTACTCCTTTCCGCCAAAACCAATCTGATACTTCATAAGCCAAAGTATAATTGTGAATGAGGAGAAGCTCAGTAATAATTTAGTCCTAAAACAAATAAACATTTTTGTTTTATAGGTGCTCCTTAATTTAGCAAAAAGTATATTCATGACTTTAGCATATATTCATGAATTTAACGAAGAGTATATCTGTATATCTATATCTATATCTATGGCTAGGAATATTTACTTTTCCTTTTTTTTTTTTATTCAGAGAAACACAATTATTTATCAAATAACTACATGTCCATGATGCTTAACTTAAAAAGGGCTCAATTTTAACAGGTCAAGTGGGCTAAATGGAAAAACAGATTTCAACAAATTACACTCATGTACAAACGTTTAAGTTTCAGAAAGAATTTGCCTTTAAACACTGATGATCCTCGATATTTCTTTCTTTTTGAATGTTCATTGCATTTGCTGCGATAGAGGTTGAAATAAACCAAGATAAGTTAAAGAGGGAAACCATTTTCCCATTTCTCCCTGCTTTTGTTTAGATTATCATTCACATGTGTCACAAACTGACAAAAGGATAGTGAAGAGTAGAAATGACCCAACAGGTTCCTTCACAGATACCCAAACAACTTACCTTCAGCAACACCCAAGTTTTTCCAGTTCTTCCACACTCTCCCGTGTGCCTCAAGCAACTCCCATCAGCCCCTGGTCCTGATGACACCTCCTCTCTTGAAATAACCCTCCTCAGGATATCCATTTGGCCAAGCAGGCTGGGGGAAAAGAATCAGGTTTCCCTATATCTGGAAGTGTGCTTTTTCCTCCCCAGTTCAAACGTGTTAAGTAGAAGAAGGAAAGAAAAAAGAGAGAGGTGGAAGGCTTCAAATGGCAGGTTGGAATGTAATTAGTGTTTGTTGGTACAGATGCCTGTAGGTGTTACCACTTCAACAGTAAGTGGGATATGGGCATAGTGTCATCTTTAAGCACAGGGACAATGTTTATTATGGTGGAAAATGTGCCCTTCAAACAATGTATCCATTAAGAATCAATGTATCAAGTTCTAGTTTTATAAAAATCCTTTGAACCACAACATTTTCAAACTCATTAATGAACACATTTTGGAAAATGAGTCGGGTCTCGAGTATACACCAACATACATGGAATTTTGATGATAAACATAAATGAAGCGGATTTATTTTTTTCTTAATTGTCTTACTCCCTTGGAGAACATAAGACGGGTTCTACTATCATCGGTATGCTGATATCCCCTAACCTCTTTTTTCTGTGGCTTATTCAGGTAATTGCAGTACATTTTTCCCTGAGTTGTAATGAATATTCAATGAGTCATTGTATGTAAAGCACTTCAAATATGAGTGGCATGAAGAAGGCATTTGGTAAATGTAAACTCTTACTAATATTGTAATCTTACCATCAATATAATTAAAACCAATATTCTTATTGTACAACCAAACTAGCTATTCTTTTGTAAGATCCTGTAAACAATTGCCACTATGCTTCCAAACTCTCAAGGCAAAAAAAAAAAAAAAAAAAAAAAAAAAAAAAAA